TATATTTTATATTATATTATATTATATTATATTATATTATATTATATTATATTACTGGATATACAGGCTATAGGCAGGGACTTTCTTTTATTTTGAAGACAGTCCATTATATTATATTATATTATATTATATTATATTATATTATTATTATTATTAGGTTTCTCATCACCCTTGATGATCCACCCAGCCACCCAGGCCACTCTAACTAGCATCTTGCTGTCAGGGGTGCCAGGCTACACCCAGAACACTCCGTCCCCTCCACCTGGTCTAGCCCCCATAGACGCCCAAGTCAACGGAGTATCAGACTGCAGTAAAGCCGTGTACCCCCTTAGTAGCAAAGTGAGTCTTCTTTCACCATCATGAGATGATATATAGTTATGGTAAAAAGCTGTCCTGTATATCTCTCATAGTTAGTCTTCTTTGACTTTCCTTGACCAGAATATTGTGTGCATGTGTGTTGTGTAGCAACCCAGCACCATGTACAGCAGAATGTCTGCAGCGTCTCTGGCAGATAAAGTTCTGACCGCAGCTCATGGTGACTCTGTGCAGGAAGCCAGTCCCCACTGCCCTTCTGAACCGCTGTCCAGCAAGTCCAGCCAAGACCGAGGTCTGCATTACCCACAGCTCCTCATTATATCCTCAATACAAGATGCATTTCTCTGCACTGCAAAAGTCATTTTGCTTATTTCTCAGTAAAAATATCCATTATGCTTTAATATAGATAAAACAGTTTGCCAGTGGGATCGGAAAAATAAACTAATTGTAAAATATTAATATTAACAATTGTTAATTGGTATACATATGCACACTACCAAGATTTGGGGTCCTTTAAAAAAAAAAAAAAAAAAAAAACTTTTATTCAGCAAGGACACATCAAATGTATAAAAAGTGACAGTAAAGACATACATAATTTTACAAAAGATTTCTATATGAAATAAACAAGAATAAATATTCTTTTGAGATTTTTTTATTTCTGTTTTGTTTTTTGAGCACCAAATCAGCATACTAGAATGATTTATGAATGATCATGTGACAACAATATATATTTTAAAAATTAGGTAAAACAGAAAACTGTTATTTTAAACTGTACTAATAATATTTCACAATATTATTGTTTTTAATGTATTTGTGATCAAATAATGCACCCTTTAAACATTCAAAAATCTTACTTAGCCCAAACTTTTGAACATATATAAAGCATGTTACTTTATTAATTAAAAAAAAATAAAAAATAAAAATTTAAACTATTACAGTCAGTCAAGTGTGACGGCATATTCACCAAGACTGATCCCTGACATATGTCAGAATTGAGTAATTTTATCTGGTAAATGCCAGCTTTATTTATACTGCAGTGTAAGCCATGTGAATCAACATTTCATGCATGCCATTTTCCAAGGCTACATTAATTGAAAGGTATATTATACTCTCCTGTATTCGAGCCTAATGCAACCAGTGACATTCACCGCTGAATTATGTCAACCGTTTGATTAGCACTTGAAACAACTCCTTGACCTTCTCTAGATTGAAAGCGAGAATTTATTGACTTTGGTCAGTCTAATTATGGATAAATATAAACTCAGTTCCAAATTATTATACCATTCCTTCCTGCTCCCTGAACGGGGCATCTGTGGAAATACAAGGCCAAGGTTTTCCGTGCTCCAGCATTGTTAAAGGTGTTTGAGTTGGCCTAACATCCATTTAGTCAGTGTGTTTTTGCTTTCAGATGAGGTGAAGTCAATTCAATCTCGTTATTCCTTAAAAGCAGTGAAGGTAAATGGCGTGTTAGATCCCCTGATGCTGAGTGCTGCAGGAATACAATCTCAAACTACTCAGCTAAAACGTTCAATGTGGGGGCTTGAGGAAAGAATAACACTGTTTCATCTATGTGTGTGTTTCAGGATCGGATACGTTTGTGGAGGTGGGCATGCCTCGAAGCCCCTCTCACTCGGGAAACAGCAATGAACTGAAGCAGATGTTGGCGTCTTGTAAGACGACGTCAGGAAAGAGGCAAGCCCTGGAGCTGCTACAGGGCACCAAGAACTCCCTCCTACAGTATGATCACATGCACAATCACTCAACAGTCAATCACTAGTCAATGTTAGAGTTAGCCACTAATGCAGCTTGTGATTTAAACGTATTTGTTCTTTTATCCATGTAGTTCAGACTGTCTGTTGTCAGACTCTGACTCCAGCACCTCAGAGAGTCCGGTGG